CAATAACATATTTCTGAATAAATAACGATTTGAAGTTCTCTTTCATCTTCTATTATAAACTGTAGGAATTAATGAATAAATATGACGATGTCAAGAAATAAAAACATTCGAGACAAGACTAGAATCTTTACTACATCTATTATAGGGAGTATAATAAGTATAATAAAAGGTCTTCCTCCTAATATCTTTGTTCTACAAAGTTGTATTCTACACAACAACGATTATCTTATAGTGCTTCCTTAATTACAAGCACGACTATACGTCGTAGAATTAAGAGTCGCGAAAAATTCACAGTGTATAATGTTGTTTAATGCATACTTTCTAAATTTGAAGATATCCTCTCTCATTTTCCATTATCATGAAATGTAGAAGTTGATGAATAAACGTCTCGATGTCAAAAAATAAAGACATTCAATGTATAGGACTGCAATCTTTACTACATCTATGGTAGACAGAAATATAATCAAGGTTTGCTTCTAAATGTATCTGTTTTCTACAATTCTGCATTCTATACAACGATGGTTCTTGAAGTGCTCTCTTTATGATTACAAGCTCAACTACACATCGCACGAGTTGTGAGTTGTGAAAAATTCCTAATACATAATGTTGTTTAACGCGTGCTTTATAAACAAAAAATGACTATATAATTTTCTGAGTTACTGTAACATGTTTTATAAAAATAAGTGCACCATATTCATGCGTCACTATTATTAATATAAATATTTCTTTTGGTAATATATGTTATTTTCTGTCGCTTAATGTGACAGACATGCTAATAGAACTAAAAGTGATCAGAAGACTTTCGGATAATGTAATTTAATAAGATGTAAATGACGATAATTATATAAAACACATTTTATTGCTCATTTAATACATTTTATACCATCTGTATCTGATAATACATGTTAAACTTTTTGTTTAGACCGTGCATTCCTCGAATAGTACATGATATGACGGCTATTCTGTACATATATGCATGATTGCTGTGCGTGGGAATAGCTCATCACGGAATGTATTAAATTTTTAATTTGTCTCAACACTTTGTACTTGAATATCATATACAAGGTGGGCAAAAAGTCTGGATACGATCAAATGTCTCAAAAAAAATTTTTTCGAGAAAAATGTTTTATACAATACAAATGTTGTAGGTTTTTAATCAATGTATCAAACGGCGAGATTTATTTGACCTTGAGTGTAAGTATAGAGGATTTTTCAAAATCAATTTTAATATGTAATGTAAACTCATTTTTTATTCAATATTTTTGTAGCTGACATCGAGAATTTCCAAAGTCCAACAATGAAATTTCTTTTAATTAAATTTTTTTTAGATATATAATAATTTGACAAAATTACATCTGTACCATCAGCGCGCAGCATTAACATTATTCAAGATGTTTGATTAATTAAAACCTCTTAAATGCTGTTCAGGATCATGACTTTGATAACATTTGACAAAATCAAGACTAGTCAAAATTTGTATCTCTTATTTTTATTTGTAAAAATGAAAATAAAAGGAGCAAGCAGGGAATTAACCAAGAAGTTAATAATAGTACAAATAAAACCTAAATGTTCAATCCAATTAATAGTAGTTTTAATTTTTCTTCAAGTATAATTTTATTGTGAAGGTTTTCTTATTCCAACTTAAGCAATAGCTGGTCAAAAATTACTTCCCAAAAAAAAATTAATGTACCTAATGTATTAAACTAATGTACTAAATAAAAAATTAAAACCCAGATGTTACAGTCTTAATTAATCAAATTAAATTCTATCAAATTATGTAAAAAGTAAAACCCAAGGAATACTATCTTTATTATTCGGTTCGGTTTGGTTTATGTATTTATGATAAAGGAAACAATGGAAAAGTTTTCGCAAAATATTTCTTTTATAACATAAATACTTCTCCCTAAGTTTTAAATCTAACAAGTATTACAATAAAAAAAAGAAAAAAGTAAAAAAAATTTACGTTATAATATATATATATATATA